GGAACTAGGAACATCATAAGCAATAACGAGGTTTCTCCATATTGCGCATTCAATTGACAGACATTTCCTAGAACTCAACATCCAAAACCCGCAAAAAAAGGCTACACACAAGTATTAAAACCACTCTTCAGGCCCAATTAAGCAATTACAATGAAGATAAAAAAATCTCTTAGCAACCTAAAAAGCTAACTGCAAGAAAAATTAAAGTGCACATAACAACCCCTGTTTGATGGCCATTTTGAAAAAATGATGTTTTAAATAGTGATTTTTTGGAGAATGAGTGGTTAAAATTATTGGAAGTTTTGGGTTTACATGTAAAATATTTTATTATGTGAATGTGTAAAGGGGCGGACGCAGACTTTTCATGTTGGGGGGACACAATCAAGCTTTCACAAAGTATCGAAAAAATTAAAGTAAGAGATGTTTTATTACAATTGTTTTCTATGTTGGGGGCGCAGAATTCTGTTGGTTCTTCATGAATTAGTTATGTGGTGGCCAAAACTACCTGTCCATAAGCCAATATTGATGTGTTGTAACATGCTAATGCATCCTTAACTAAACCGGCACCAACTAATTGATACACATCCTCCTAAAATCACAGAACCACAGATTTATAAATCAAATTAGATCCTTATGTTTTTTATTCAATGAAATAGCCTTAAATTCATTAATATGTTCTCTTGAGGATCTTCGTGTTAACAAAAATGACTGTAAGTTAAAGTATTCATTGCAACAGAATATACAAAACTATGGGGAATTTCGGAAATAAGTCCAAATCTGAGATGATTTTGAGCCTAAAACTGAATCAAATGTGTAGGTTCTATCACCAACTGATACTGAATCCTTAGAAACTTTCTAACCATTCCATCTCCACTTCCAGGGCCATTAAATGGCCTGATCCTCAATACAACCTACACATACACCCAGAATCATATACACTTGAAATTAACACAACCTAAACAAATAGCAAAAAAGTTAAAATTTAACAATATTCACCATCTGAAAATATAAAACAAATTAGAATTAGTTAAATTTGCATACCAAAATTATCAAAACAACTCCAAGCACAAAACCTATCCCATCCAGTATTACTAGATTAACAAATATAATATTCAATAACATTAACTACGGGATTTGTAAAATTATAGTAATTTTATAATACCTTGACTGGTGGATCAGGATCTGCAAGTAATTTTTCCTGGGCAATAG